GATTTAAGGTGATTTAAGGTGATTAAGGATGGTTAAGCAATGGTTAAGCATGAATTTGATGTCAAGTTTTCATAATTGACCAACTTGGATAATTTTAGTAATATGATTGATAATCTATGGATTAGGTATTCTGATATATGAAAGGTAATTATGTTATTTAAGTATTAGAAGAGTTATTATGTATGAATTAGTGGTGGAATTAAGTTAAGGTTGCTTAAGGAGGTAAAGTATTACTTAAGTCTATCACAATTAAGCATCCTGAAATTCAGTCACTAAGATGGACTTGGTTAAATAGGTAAATGAGCTCCAAAAATTATGAAATTTTATAGCGAACTATTTTAGGAATTTGGAAAGGTTGTGTAAAAGGGATAGTGCAATGGGTGAAGGAAAATGGAGTTATAGTTAAATGAATGCAGGCTGCTCAGTGGAAAGGCTGACTGAAAATTAGGTATTGTATTTAGGTTATTTAACTATGAAAATGAGCTCCAAAATTCATGGAATTTTATATGGGAGTATCTTGAGATGTGAGGAAGATGATGTTAAAATTTTAGGACAAATGAATTTAAAGAACTAGAGATATAGCCAATGGAAGGCAGACTACTCATATGATGGAAACCACTCATATGATGGAAACCTTGTATTCCACTACTTTGTAAAGAGTTTAGCATACTTTTCATATGTTATTAAGTCCCATTATTTTAGTTGTTATTTTAATATTTCTAGAATGTGATTAAGTGTGGGAAATGAAGTAATGCATGCCTAAATTAAGGTCATATGGTAGTTGGTTAAGCATAGTGAAATTGAAGAAAAAACATGAATACTACATTTCAAAAAAACATGAATACTACATTTCAATACTTAATTTACATTCCTATGATAGTATGTGTGTGTTTATTGAGTAGTATGGAGTTAATATAAATATTAATTTTATGCTACAATATCTGAGAGAAAAGGATTAGATGATAAGTCAATAAGTAGAGGAATAAGGTTAGGAGAGCCTTCCAATTCAGGTTAGTGCACTATATCTATAACTTATGTTGTTTAAGTGATAAGTAAAATAGTTTTAAAGAAATATTTTATGAAAAGATACAAGGTAAAAGCAATATGCTAAGCTTACTATTTTATGAGCTTTTACAAGAGAAAAAGTTGATTTATTTATCAAATGTTTATATCAAATGAAATTGAATTTAAATGTGATCATTATTGCATTTGTGAATTGATTGTAAAGAAAGCAAATGCTAAAGTTATAGTTAAATGTGTTTTATATAAAATAATAAAGAGCTAATGTTAAATGTTTTATGATAGTTGGAAATGAATTTCAAATTACTCATTTGAATGGAAAATGGAGGATGATCTTAAAAGAAGGGATATAGAAATGTTTGAGCAAAATGAAATACTGCTCATTATGGCTAATGGTTGATTTTTAATGGAGATATTTTAAAAGTCTCATAGCTAAATGTATGACATGGTTATTACCTGATATCACTTCATTTGTTGAAGTTGATATTATGATATGGTTATTACCCTTGCTGATATCACTTCATTTGTTGAAATTGATATTGGGATTGATATGGATATGCAATGAATGATATTGCAAATGATATTGTTCCCTCTTAAATGAGGTTGAGATTGTCCCTCTTTTATTGACATTTATATCATGGATTGAGGTTGAGATAGCTTTGTCTTAATGAGCTCATAAGACACTGATGACCCTTCGGATTGGGTTTGCATAAGTTGTAGAGACAAAACTACTGATTAATGATTTATTAATATGTTATAATATCTCCATTAAATTGATTATCTTTGGTAGGCAAATGGATATGATTTAGTTGATATGACTACTTGTTATTTTTATCTAACTGATTTGTTTTTAGTAAGCAAATGATAAATATTGATCTTGAAAGAGGTAATGTTGAAAATTGTTTTCACACTTAAATACCTTAAATATCTAATGGTGAATTATCATTTATCATTTATTGAGTTCTTATATAAACTAAGTGCTTGATAAATATATTACAAGTGCATGCCACATCTTACAATGGGTTAAGGTGTGACACAACTTATCCTCAAACTCACATAACATTTCAACTAATAGGTTGAACATTAAGTCTGAGTAATAAAAATATATACATGTAAATATTCTCTTGTAATGTAATGATTTTCCATCTTGTGAAAATATGGTTCCTTTTCTGTCATGAATGAGGGTTCAAGCTTATTCCCTTCTCTTCTTTTATCCTCTTGTAATCAATCTCTAAAGCCTTCCACTGAAAAGTTATATATATCTACCCCAATGTCCATTACATCACCAACCACATATACCTTACCACTATCTTAGCCACATTATTAAGGAAAAATGCCACCATAATTTACCTCAAGCATATTCACTACACATTGAAAATAAAACAAAAGGAAAAGCAATACATCATTTATTCATAGAAATTTCAAGTCAAAAGTTATTGATTGTTCCTTTGACATAAAAAGCATGTAAAGGATGTTTTCCTTTTCAAATAACACAAATAATGCAAGAGAATGTGATCGAATATAAGTTTAAAACACACATAGAAGCTGCAAGTTAAAGATTTAGGGAAATACCTTGTCCCCATTGTCGGGAATGATGATGAGAAGCACTCCAATCCCGTGCAATCTCAGTGTTAAATCTAAAGACGCGATATTATTTTTCCTTTCTCAGCAATTTGATCGAGTTTTTTCTCAGATCATGCTAAAGATTTGAGAAGAATTTGAGAAGAGAAGAAGTCTCTGAAAGGGGCGGAGGCGTTGCTCTTTCTTTCATTCAATCCTAATTTAAGTTAAATTTTGGGAAAAATCGTGTTTGGGGCGATATTAAAGAGGGGTAAAAGGGATACTTTATCCCTTTTGTCATGTTGCGTCCTATGTGTCAAATTAGTCAGTCCAAATCAGTAGACACGTAGGCATTTGTAGATTCCAATCAGTTCCATTAGATTTTTTGGTGGTCCATGTCATCAGGAGACACCAAAATGAAACAAAAATTGCAAGTTTTAGATACTTAATTATTACAATTTTCCGTTTAGACACCAAAATAGAAAAAAATAACAAGTACAGGGACTAAAATTAACATTATCCCATTAATGAAATCAATCAACAAAGGAGCTTCTACACATATAGGAATAGAATCTCAATAACAAAGCGAAACAAAAAGCCAAAAAAAAAAAAGGAACATGAAGCTCTAGCTAGACTATGGACTGCCATGTTAGTTTGCCTTCGTAACCAAAATAGAGAAATATTAATTAAGACCTCACAATCAGGAATTAATAAGCTAAATTCAGAGAGGGAGGAACAATTTTGTTGCACAGTTTAATAATTTGGTAATTTTGTTAAATGACAAATTATCTACTATGTATTTTAACATAACATTTCATAAACGACAAATTTCAATATTTTATTTTGTTCCTCTAAAGACAATTTCTGACTCATTATTGAATAAAATAACGTATTTTTAACCTTTTTCACTATCTCAATAAAAAATTTCACTGAATTATTCTTTTTTTTTAATACTACTGAATTCTTCCTTTTTTGCTATTCCTCTTATTATTGTTTTCTTTTTTTTTTTTTTTCTTTTTTTTCCTCTTTTATTGGAATCAGCAGCAAGAAAGTTAAAGAAAAAAAGCAAAAGCCCTTCCCATATGGAGCTACACCCTTTCCAATCCGAGAGCATCTATAACTCACTCCAGACCATCTTGCGTAATATTCAAGTAAGCCATATATTTAAGTAATAGATATTTATTTCACTTTTATCCCTCTTTAGCAAATTAAATGTATTTAAAATTATTAATCCTTACTATTTTTTTAGTTAATATTTCATAAAAATATATTTAAATATTTAATTAACAATAGAAAAGAAAGTAAATAATATAAAAACAATTTTACAAAGAAATTATTAAGTAAAAGCATGCATTAAAAATATATTATAAAAATAATATTAAATAATTTATCAAGTTCATGAAATATGAGTAATATTTTTTATCAATAAAAAATATTCTTCATGAAAATATGAAAGAATCATTTTTAATGTTATAATAATGTACAGTCTATAATATAATGTATACATGCTATTAAATCAATTAGATTTTAACTTTAGAGTAGGATTTCGCTTAATCTACTCAAGAAGAAAAAAGAAATATTATAAAAATTAATTGCGTGTAGAGTGGTTGTTTAATCTATGAAAAAGAAAAAGAAAAAGAAAGACTGTTAAAATAAAAAAAAATTATAAAAATAAAGAAAAAAACTATAAAAATGGTTAAGAAAACGAAAACTTTAAAAACTAATGCTGCATAGAATGATTTTTTAATCTGTCAAAAGGAAAAACTATTAAAATAATTTATATAAATAAAAAGGATAAAGAAAAACTATAAAATTAAAAAGGAAAAAAAAAAGCAGAAGAAAGAAAACTAAATTAATAAAAACTAAATAAAAAATTCACACTATACAGTTTCGAGAATCAAACAAAGGCTAATTTAGTTGGCTTGCCATAGCATTATTGCCGTTAGACCAAGCAACATCATGTTTTGTTTTTACCATTTGAAATTAGTTGACCTGTTTCCCTCCGTCAATGCTTGTGCCGGTTTCCTAAGAGTAATCAAAAATCGGAACCGAAATTTTGATTATTATTATTATTTTTTTTTTGAAATAGTATTAGAAATCAAAATTTAAATTTTAATTCAGCTCGTTATGTTTTATTCATTCGATTCATGTCCCCAGAAACCTAGTTGAAAATTTTCATATGGCAATAATTTAAACTTCATTTTGATTAATGCTTCTATTATATTTAATTCGCAACTTTTAATTTAAAAATCACTACAATACTATTAAGCCAAAACTCATTAATTATTTCAATATTAATAAATTTGTTTTGTAATTTTTTTATTATCATTCTTACATAAATCAAGAAATATTGTGCTGGATTACGTTATGGTGCTAAAGAAAATAATCACCTCAAAAATTAAGAAAAATAACAAATAAGATTCAAATTCTCAAAAATACATCTTAATTTATATCACAAAATCACACCATGCAATTCCCAAATTAACAATTATCACAAATTAACCCTTCAAATATCTTATTTTCTACGTACCCAAATAGAAATAAAAACAAATAAATAAAAAAGAATTCCCTCAAAAAATAAAATAAAATTTAGCTATTCACCACAGCACAGCGCTTCCTAATTTCACCATCAGACCCAGTTTTAACATTGATTCTTCCCATTTTCTCTATGGAAGAAGCAAATTCAGCAAAAAAATCTTCAAGAGATCCCTTCAACAGCTGATTGATTTTAGACAAGGTAACAGAGTTTGTGGTTAGGGCAGCATCTGAATTAAAGAGACCTCTTCTTTTAAGCAAGAGAGAGTAGTAACTAAGATCAAATGTTTTGCGACTGCCAGGATCCATTTCTACTTTAGTAGTATTATCATTAGGGCTTTTGCACTTGTTTGCTCTTAGATTTGCGGCATATTCTTCGTCTAGACTTGGGTCTGGCTTACCAGTTCCATTAAAATTGTATAATCGGTTTGTAAATGCTGTACAATGAGCAATACCAATTGTATGTGCACCTGAAATAATTGAGCTATTGTTAGACAGTGAAAACAAATACTCCTTCTGTTCCAAAATTATAGTCTCGACTTTCTTTTTGAGTGTATCAAAATAATAATTCTGGACATTTTGAGATTTTATTTTTTTAACTTTCTCGTAATATCATGTAAATAATTTTATATATTAGTTGAATGGAAAAGACTTACCTACACTCGATATATAGACTCACTCGTATACTAAATCAATTATAAATGTGTTTTGGTTCAAATGATTTTGACTAAGGGAAAAAAAAGATAAAATAGTAATAATTTTTCAAAAAACACTTTTTTAATTGGCTCGGTGCATGGGCAGTATAAAGCCAGAAATTAAAGTTAGAGGAAAAAAAAATTCAAGAGTTAAAAGAAACAAAATTGAAAAAATTTACTATTGCAGTGAATTGTAGAAAAAAAATATTAAGATAATTAATTTTCAACTCTTATCTACTAACTATTTATCTTATTTTAAAAATTTTAAGAAATTATTAATATACCATATTTAAGATCAGGATATTATCTGGAAAAGTAAGAAAAAAATTTATAATTAACCTAATTTAAGTAACCATTTTTAAACTGCATGAAAGATATAAAATACGTGTATTAGGTAGCTTACCAGAGAGCAAAACGAGATCTTTCAGATCAAGTCCTTGGTTGGCAAAAAGTGTTTGAAGACTAGTGAAGTTGGCTAGGGGAGATGGAATGTTTGCGGCAGCCTCTGATTGCCTTGATATCACTCCATCTCTTCTGCCGGTGGGAACTCTCCAGAATGGACCTCCCTATATAATAATAATCATAATTTTTGTTAAAGTTAAGAGATAATTATAATTAATGATAATAATTAATGAATTCCGACATACTGTGGCTACTATGGAGTCCCTTGTAACTAAAGCAAGAACATCTGCGCATGACACTATGCCTGGACATTCAGCTTCAAGTAGACTCTTCACTCTATCAATGAAGTCAAAACCTCTCAGTGATAGATTTGGAGTAGCAGCTTTTTCCGGTTGTTCGCCGGAAGTCGATGATGTGTTCAAAAGCAGAGATGCATCACAACCCTGATATACAAGATCGTAAATAGTTCAATGGTTAAGTTTCTATCCAGTAAAATAGAATGTCAAGAATATTTTAAATCCTATAACAGACATTTCCTTCATATTAAAATTTTATTTAGTTAAAATTAAAGTACCACTAATTATTAGGTTTATGAATATTGTTGGGAATTCTTTTAAATGAGATATTTTTATAGTATCAACATTTGAAATTTAATACTCAAAAGGTTTATTTTCACAGTTCGAATTAAAATCTTGCATTTCAAATTTTTTCTTTCAAACACTAATGTGAAGAATTTTCCAGAATCGAAGGAAACGAAAATAAAGTTAAGAATTCAGATTCTGATAGTATTTCTTTTCAAAATCTCCAAAGCATGAAGATAAAAATAAATAAATAAAATGTAAGAATGAGCAGACAAACCCTGACAAAACAATCATGGAAGTGCATTCTAATGAAAGAAGCTGCTAAAGATGGAGCATTGTGAATGTGGCTGTTGACAAAGTCACGCACAATCTTCTCAGCTTTAGGGCAGCTCTTATCATAGAAACCCCACTGTAATTGAGCATCAGTTGAGCCCATAAGTGCTGAAAAACCAAACATTAATATTATTAAACCAAAATAGCTAATTCCTCCCATTTTTGATTGGTTAGAAGAGATTTCTCTTCCCTTGATTATGTACAGGAAGGATTGCTATTAATTAGCCAGTGGAAGCTGCCTAGCTAGTAGTTTGCACTTGCAGGGACTGAAAAATGAGGGGGAACTTATAGTCGTAGATTTGAGCGAAAAGATAAGAAGCAAGATGATAAAAAACAGTACAATCTAGCTAAGGAACATGTGCCCTCTTGTAGGAATTTCACATATTTTAATCTAAAGTTAAGCAATTTATTATGTAGTTAGTTAGTCTTGTCTCTCCCTCAATAAATGAAGTAACTAGATCTATACAAACACAGGGGCATTTCATTTTAGATATTGATTATTTTTAGTAATAATTGAGTTGTTTATATATCTATATATATATATAAAAGAAAGACTTATCTACACCCGATGTATGAACCCATCTATACACCAGACCAATTACAAACAATATTTTAGTTCAAATGATGATATTTATGATTATATATTGGGAAAGAAATGACAAAACATCTTTTTAATTGGCTTGGTATATGTGTAGAGTGTAAGCAAGAAATTTCCTATATATGTATGTGTGGAAGAGGAGATTAACTTGGTTAGATCGGCTCCATGACCCTACCCATGGATCAAATGAATGAAAATATAAATTTTTATTGAAATAATAGTATTTTTGACCGTACACTAAGAAAAAAATAATGAAATAGGAATAATTCTTAAAAAAATCAAATATTTGTATTGATTTGATTCATAGCCAAGTCATGGATCCAGATCCAGTACATATTTTGGAAAACCAAATGTAAGAATCTATAAGTAAAATATTGAAATTTTAGAGGGACGGTGCATTTTGCTGGCTAGCTTTATTTTATGCATATAAGTGTCCTCTTGACAATGACTCCAAATTTCGAATCATGATATTGCATGTAAATTTTATTTGAGGATGTAGTTCAATGCGCCATTGATCTAATTGTGAATTGGTCAAACCCAATATTTTCATTTAGTCATTAAACTAGTAGCTTAATTAGTAATTAATTAATCGCTGGTCTGCTAAGTAAACAAGAAGTTGATGAGGCATAATGGATACGTGAATGATATGGTGAGGAATATTGCTTTTACGTTGGCATAAACAAAAATCAGACAGTGTAAACAACAAGAGAAGTATAATTAATAATTAATAATTAATAAATCGAATATTAGTTGAGCTGCTCTAAAGCCTCCATGTTATGATATTGTCTCACTATTTGTTTTCTATTTCTAATGTAGCTGGCAACACTCTTAAATAATAATTCTTGAATTTCCTTTTAACTATTTTTTTTTTTAAATATCAAATTGGCATGTATAAGAGAGGGTGGCTGCTCATGTTGCTCGTTCTTATATATACGTTCTTATATATATATATATTATATATATATATATATATAGAAGCGAACGTCAATCAATAGACTAACAATTTAATATCAATAAATAGTATTTCAATTAAGAATAATATCAATTATATGTAAAAAAATAATATGACCACAAGTATATACATGCTGCTCTCTCTCTCTCATATCTTATATTATTTATTATATATATTTGTTGAATAAATTGAAACAACTAAAATATTATTAAATAACACCATATAAGATATTAGTTAAATTTTGAATGTTTTTTTTACCAGTTTGAAATTCCACAATACTACAGCGTCATTATCAGTTTTTAAAAATAATATTTTCAATAATTATTAAATAAAAATATTTTGAGAAAAATTATTGTAAACCATATATAAAAAATTTATCATTAAAAATACTATTTTTTAATTTTTATTGATATCTTATGTAAAATCATTAATCATTAATTAGTAATTAATACATTTGAATAGAAGTATTTAGTGGCACCACTAAACATAGCTCAAACGTCTAAAAAAAAAATGAAATCCTTTTCGGTAAAAAAAAGTGAAACTAGAAAGTAAATTTGTATTTTCCTTGAAGGAAAAACCAATACTATTCTTAAGAGAAAACATTTTCCTCTTTTCAAAGCGGGTAAATTCCAATAAATTACCATTAATGATAGTAAACACACTGTCCATTCATTAATGAATTACTTATACTACTCTTATCACCGGATTATCATTATTATTACTAATTTTCATGATTTTTTTCCATATTTAACATATATTCAAATAAGTAAAATTTAAAAAAAATTATAGAAAAAATCAATGTTTTACAAATATTTCTTAAAAAATATCTTATAAAATTAAAAATTATCTCCGAAAAACAAATAAAATCTTTGTTGTGCTAGAATCTTAAATCGGAATTACTCCCAATGTTTGAAAAACCACGGTAGAGCGGTCGAACTGACTTGATATCTAAAAAGGGAAAAATAAAATAATTGATAATGGGCCTTGATTAGAACTTAACAAACTGGTTCGACAAAAATTTATTTCTAATACAAAATCTATTCTAAAATTTGGACTACTAATTTGGGTCCACCACCGATTCTTGACCGTTCTGAAATTTAATTTTGCATAAATATTCTTTTAAAATTAACTCAAATCAATTAACAATTGCAAAAAAAATGAGATCATATAAGATTGCCGTTGGTTATTGCTTTTCAGTTTCGGGTTTGGTTTATTTTTATTTTAAAAAAAAAAGATGGTATTGTCAATTTATTTTGTGTTTGATTCTGAATTACAACAAATAGAACGGTAAAAAAATAAGTTTTTTGAAAAAACAAAAAAATTCAAAATTAATAAACGCTTTGAGGAAATGAAAAAACAAACCCAATTTCTATGACCACTTTTCTTGTTTCTACTTCTAAATCTCTTTCCTGAGTTCATCCCTTTCTTTACTTTTTTTGAAATTATTAGTGTTGTTGGATCTCAAACGACCACCGTCAAAGACAACACTGTCCAACTCGATTTTTTAAGTTGCTGGGTTTAAAGTTAATTTCAAACCCGACCAGTTACCTGTTTACAAGTTTTACCAGTTCAACCTTGACTGATCCTCATCCAGTTTTCAAAACATTGTCCTATTATTTAGCATGGAGACCTCGCTGCGAGTAAAATGTCGCCTCGTTGCAAAAATTAGATACTCCGCTCTATATGAATTCGTATATGACAGTATTGAATCTTTCCATCCAAATACACAACTCAATATAATAAATTTTCCTCATCTCAAAAAATAAAAATCAAAAAAAATAAGGTCTTCCTTGAGGACCTCCCATTCTTTCCTTCCCAAAACTTATAAAATGAATTCATTGGTGTTTATCAAAATTCTGGTCTTGCAAGCCAACATTTCCCCAAACATTTAACAGCCCAGCCCTAAAGTCACATAGCCAGGAGCAATGCATAGAATGTTGGCACCTAAGCCTCCGCTTGCCGAACGTGCATGGCATCTCAGTTTATGCTTGATGCAGCCTTCATAGACTGCAATAAAACTTGAAAAAGAGTAACTCTCCATGACCATGAAATGCCCAAAATGAATTTCAAGACGTGTTTGCTTTTCAATAAATACAAACAGTTGAATTTGGAACAATTTCCAGCATGTTTTCATAACAAGGTCTTCAGGATACTTTTGTTAAAGCTGATACCATCACTTGTAAAATTGGCAGTTAAAAAAAAATGGCAGATTTCTGTCGCCAATTTAAATCAAGCTGCAAAGAGAAATGAAATATAAGGAAAACTTGCTGACTTACCATTTAAATTACTTGAAAATTTTTCCCACTTCAGTTGCCAATACTTTAAGCTGTGGGAAATAACCTGAAATTAGAAATGCATTAATTCCATCTTGATAAAAATGACATAAAAAGAAGTGTGCTGCACTGGAGGCATGGGATAAAAGTACACCAATGTATTCCTAGTGTACAATTAAGCAGCAATGTCTATGTGATTAGGCCAGTTAGAATTTGGAAGTGACTGCAAAATGCTTACAATTTACAGAGATGGAGTAAAAATTGAGGAAAAAACAAATAGAACAATACATATTATATATATATATATATATATATATATATATATATAATATATATATATAACTATAAACTGTTAACAGAACAGAGAATCCGTATCAAGAGAAATAATCTTACCTCTGAATAATGGCTTTGCGTTGCTTCTTCCCATTCGATAAGCCCACCTTGAAGAACCCATTGTAGTGCACCATTTTCTTAAGTGACTTCAACACATACATTCGTCTGGAAAAACCCTTGAAACAGCATCTTGCAGGTTCAATTAGTTGTCACGTTCTGTCAATTTTATGAAGTAACTCCTTTATTGGCAGTAAATATTGTTAAAACAGAGAGCGTCTGTGAATCCACCATGCCATGAATGAAATGGACGTCTAAGTTCTTCCCTTCTGAATCAAATAAGATAAAGAAGGATCCCACCAAAATACATTTGAGGGAAAAAAAAAAAAAAGATAGACGAGTCTGATGATTTTCTGGGCTTCAAGAGACGAAAGAACATCACAATTATGTTTACCTAATGTAAGGGTCACACGTGTTATTTTGGGGAATGGATGGCATTTGTTACTGAATATCCTCTTCAAATTGTATGATTGCTTCCCTTTTTCATTTCAAATTTTTACATTGTTAAGATTAGATGTGGTAATCTTAAATTGTTACCTCCATTTCCCCTTGCTATTCCAGCTACGTCTTCCCTATTGATGTTACTGCAAAAAGACACATATTATATTTTTACAACCTTTTAACATAAATATAAATACGAGTTTTATTTTTTCAGGATATTTCAGGTTTCTTGGGTTGTAGTGAAAAAATCCTGTGTATAACAAAGAAGAAATAATATGCCATATTATCCAACATCAACAGCTTCTCAAAATGCTGCTTTTGTAACTAACTACGACTATATGTAATCCTCTCTTTCTCTTTAT